CGCGACTACGAGCTTCACTCTCTTGACTTCAGCAAAGCTTTCCTGCAGGGCAGCCTGCACAAGGAGATCTGGCTACGCCGCCCACCTGGCTTCACTGGGTCGTTTCCCCCTGGTACCGAGTGGAGCCTCCGGCGGCCAGTCTACGGTCTCCGCCAGGCGCCCCGTGAGTGGCACGACACACTGAGGACTACACTTGCGGCTCTTGGGTTTGCTCCTTCTACAGCCGACCCGTCGCTGTTTCTGCGCACCAACACCTCTTTGCCGCCGTTCTACATCCTCGTGTACGTCGACGACTTGGTCTTTGCCACTGCTGACACTGCTGGACTAGCCCACATGAAGTCCGAGCTGTAGAAGAGACACACGTGCACAGACCTGGCTGAACTGCGCAGCTACCTTGGCTTGCAGATCACCCGGGACAGAGCACAGCGCACCATTACCCTGACTCAGTCACACATGGTGCAGCAGGTCCTTCAGCGCTTCGACTTCACGTACTCCTCGCCTCAGGCCACTCCTCTGCCTACTCGCCACTCGCTCTCAGCTCTACCTTCGGATGAGTCCGTAGAGTCGATTGACCCGTACCCAGAGCTTGTTGGCTGCCTCATGTACCTGATGACCTGCACACGACCTGACCTTGCATACCATCTTAGCATCTTGGCACGCTATGTTGCTCCTGGGAGACACCGACCAGAGCACATGGCTGCAGCGAAGAGGGTGTTGCGCTACTTGTGCAGTACGTCGGGCATGGGGCTAGTGCTTGGAGGGCGACGTTCAGTGGTCCTCACTGGTCACGCAGACACTTCTTGGGCTGACGACCAGGCTACGCAGCGGTCGTCACAGGGTTACACCTTTAGCCTTGGTTCTGGCTCTGTTTCATGGCGGTTTACCCGCTCGTCTTCTGTTCTCGGCTCCAGCTGTGAGGGTGAGATCTACGCGGGGGGCATGGCTGCACAGGAGCTACTCTGGCTCACCTATCTGCCGACTGACCTAGGAGAGCCGCCTCGTTCTCCTCCAGTTCTGTACGTAGACAACAAGGCCATGCTGGCCTTGTGTCGGGAGCACAGACTGTAGCACAGAACGAAGCACATTGCTCTTCGCTACTTCCTTGCTCGTGAGCTGCAGCAGCGTGGTCAGCTGCGCCTTGCTTACGTGGCCTCTGAGGCCAACACTGCTGGTATCTTTACCAAGGCACTTCCGCCTTGTGATCATCAATGCTTCTATACGATGCTAGGTCTTGTGCCTACTTGGCCTCACTTGCTCACTTCTTGACCTTGCGTGTACTGTGATTTTTCTATACCTGCACTTGCTTGTTTACCTTTATATATGGTCTTGCATGTGAACTGGCCTTGTGGCCTTGCACTTGTGCTCGGAATGTATGGTGACGTTGTGATCCACCCTGAGCTTGCTTTGCTTTGCTTGACTGGTCTTGTGACCTCTTGTTCTCCCCCACTTTGCCTTTGGGGGTGTGTCAAACTCATATGCTATAGTCTGTGTAGGCTGTAGTGGGGGAGACAATATGGGGTACAACACTTTTAGGTTTTCCTACTTGTACCCACCTGTTTGCTAGTGCATTCATTCCTCATTTCTTCACAGCTACTGCGACTGCTGCGAGAGGAGTGGCCACTGCTGCTGCTGTCGCCGAGTCAGGTACCAAGCCGCCACTCCAGCACCAGGCGCTCCACCAGCTCCTGCACTCCCGCCACCACCACCCGCAACTCCACCCCCGCTGCTGTCGCCGCCACCCGCACCCTAACTGCCCCTCCTGCCACTCCGACCCCTAGACCGCGAAGAAGACGTAGCAGTAGTTGCGGTTACGTCAGTCGCGGCAGTGGTGAGGGAAGCATTAAAGTTGGGTAGTTGAGGGACGTGCACCCGTGAAACAATGGGGGGGGCACAGCACTGTCACGATATATAATCATATATGTTTATAACTGCCTGTAGCTTTAGCTTTAGTGTAGTTATGTTTCTTTGCTGTTGGTGGTGCACCTTTGCTTGTTTGCTATGTGTACCTTGTGTGCTATAGTGAACGACACACATTCTCGACATTTCTCCTTGGCACAAACTCCTCGACACCCGCTTGGCCTAGGCTTCTAAGCCTAGGCCCCTAGTTAAACCCAATTACCAGTAAGTTAGTCTCGTAACAAGCACCAGAGGCGAAGGCTACCGAGCGGAGGTTGCTCTCGACATCCTTGAGAGCAGACTCAAGGACGCCGATAGTGAGCTCGCTAGGGTGCTTCAGAAGAAGCGCGTCACGAACTGAGGCAAGGCAGTCAGGGAGGCTAGTGGCGATGAAATAGATAGTGATCGCCATGGGAGGAGGTAGTAGTGCAAGTTGTGCGTCATTGCAGGCAGCGCGAAAGCTAGAGTCCAATGAGCGCATGTGAGCAATCAAGTCAGCAGTGTGATCAAACGAGGCGAGGTCAGGATATAGGAAGGGGAGGAACAGGCGGCCAAGAGAGACAGTGGAAAGAGTAGCACAGCGAGCCTTCATCGTAGTCAGGAACTCACTAGCCGTGCGAACCTGCATAAAATGGGTCTCCTCATACTCAGGGAGTAGGCTACTGAGGGCGATGCAGGCCTCAGCATCGCGCGATCGCCAGACAGTCATGTCACCACGCTGACGCGCAACACGCTCTCTGTCCTCAGGGGTAGCGTAAAGGCCTAGGGTATCAGGATCGGGGGGCGCGGGGAGGTCACCGGATGCATGCGCCCTCAGAGCCTCGTTTGCCTGCACCTGACTCTCTAGGAGACGCTGCGCACTCTGGAGCCAGACAGAGAACTCAAGGGGCCTACCCTTGGCGTCAAAGCGAAAGCAGGAACTATAAGGTCGGTAGGGCGCAGTGGCAGGTGAGGGCAGGGCGACAAGCACGGCAAGGAGACAAGCGGTTGGGCAAGAGGCGCGCGGGCGTGCGCAGGGCAGGCGCGCGACCAAAAGTAGGTACGCAGCGGACGCTAAAGGGACGCGAAGGGCCGCGGCGGCGAGCTCTAAGGGCAGGCTCACAACGAGCGCAAAGAGAAGACGCGGGAAGCGTAAGAACGCAGGCCCGCGACGGGCTCAAGGAGCAGGCTCGGCGGGCGGCACGGGCAGGCACGGCGGGCAGGTAGGGCAGGGCCGTGTCAGGCTCTAAGGGCAGGCGCGGCATGTGGCACAAGCAGGCGCGGCGGGCAGGTAGGGCAGGGCTGCGGCAGGTGGCACGGGCAGGCGCGGCGGGTGTCACGGGAAGAGACGGCGGGCAGCGAGTGCAGGCTCGCGGCGGGCACAAAGGGAGGGCCCGCGGCGGGCGTAGCTGACAGGCGCGGCACGGGCGAACGGGTGGGCCCGTGAGGGGCCGAACGGATAGGCGCGGCGGCGCGAAGGCAGGTCCCGCGGCGGGCCTAACGGGCGGGCGCAGCAGTGGGCGTTACGGGCAGGTGCGGCGGCGCGAAGGCAGGGCACGCGGCGGGCCTAACGAGCAGGCGCAGTGGCGAGTTTAACGGGTAGGCACGACGGCGCGAAGGGAGGCCCCGCGGCGGGCCTAACGGGCAGGCGCAGCGGGCGCTAAGGGCAGACGCAGCGGCGCTAAGGGCAGGCGCATGGCGGACGCTAAGGGCAGGCCCGCCGGCGGGCGCTCAGGGCAGGCACGGCGGGCGCTTAGGGCAGGCGCGCGATGGAACGGGGGACGGGAAGGGACGGGCGCGAGAACGGGCAGAACGCGCTGCGGCAAGTGTGATTGCAGGCGCGCGGTGGACGGGCGTACGAAAGGGGCGCTATTGCAGCGCTACGAGACAGGACGAGACGGGTGAGGCGCGTGAGGCTCGGGAACCTCGGGCAGAAGGAACAGGATCCTAACCTAGGTGATACCATGTCAGAAACTGAATTGTGTGTTCATTGATTTGGGTTGGGGTACATATAGGAAACCCTAATATTTGTACCCCCTAAGACAAGCCTCACTACAGGCTACAACATTTGACAATTGGGGTGGCCTTGCAACGTGCACAGGCTCGGGTCGTCCTGATACGTGTTGCGTCGTCTATGGGCGGAGCAGATATTGATTCGGTGGACAGGAAGTGGGAGGACACTGGGGAGATTGTGGGTTCTTTGTGGGTAGAGGCTCAGTATTTGGTGTCTGCCCCGGTTTGAGGAGCGCTCGAAGGATGCTGTCGGAGGGCTTTTTATAGTGCGTGACGGGAGGTTTCATTCCCACGAGGTCGTTTTCTGGGTTGGCTTCATTCATTTTCTTGGGCAGCAATTGTGACTACGGAAGAACTGCTGGTAGTAATAGTGTGCATGACTTTTCAGCGTGTGTGTGGGCTGGGTGTTTAGTAGTACATCGTAAGTGCTTTGATCGAAGGTCCATGGCAGTTAGGATGAGCGTATTTCTATGCCAAATAAGAGGTATTTTTAGTGTCGCGGGTCAGAGTGTACTGTAAAATATGAAAACTGCTTTATGATGGAAGCACCTGTTTGTTCGGTCGCAGGTGCCTGGTGCTGCTGGCAACGTTGACGGTTGATCAGGTCAACTGGTCAACTGTATGTGTTGTTATAGGCAGAGCACTTCATCGCGGTAGTTCCAAATGTCCAGGAACTGTTGCTGGGCAGATTTCACGAACTTGTTTCCAAATGAACTCCAGCCCTTGCCGAGTCATTCTGCAAATGATAAAAAGCGAGAATCATGCCAACAATGCCCACTGCCGAGCAGCTTTTATCGGCTCCACACCTCACGCACCGCAGGATAAAAGCACCGCTGCCCGAGCCGAAACACATCTGACGTGCACACCTCAGTGGCTAACATCGGTGGCCACAATGGTTTCGGGCAGTTCAGCTGTCATAAAAACGTCTCCTTCTGCCCCAGCCCTGTCGGTGCCGTCAGAACAGAACCCACGAAGGACATTTCATGTTCACTGCGCCTGTCACACGGCAGCAGTGCGATCAAGTTCGGTGACCCTCCGGCCACCACCACCACTCGCTTTCACCAACCTCGGCAAGCACAGCCCTTCCTTGCTCTCGTCGCGACCGCTCGCGCATGCCAAATGGCGCACGATCGGCGCAGATCACCACTTCACCAATCGAAGCTGGGAGTACGGGCAATGTGTGCGCGCGGTCGTGGATGGTGCAGCAGCGAGCAGCATTGTCATCTTATGTCATGCCATGCCGCGTTTGGTTTCCATCCAACCCATTCGTTGGTTTCCGCCCGCGCAGCGCCGCCCTCAAACCCACTTCCCCACCGAATGTCGCGCCCGGAATTCCCCCTCCCGCGCCGTCCATCCCATTCCATCCCATCCCATCACATTTGTGTGTTGCTGCTGGTCCCTTCATCAGCCCAAACATTTGTCAGTTTTCTGAAGACCGAACTCACCGTTTTACCATAGCTGAATTGTGAAGCTCCCGCACCGTCCATTATTGGGGCTTTTCCCCCTCGTTCGGTTTCGGCACCTCGTGATCTTCCCGTTACGTCGTCGGGAGTTTCATCTTCTCGTGTGTCGTTCACCCAGTCAAGGCCATCCATCGTTACCGGAATCTCCGGTAATCTCTAAGTGATTTAGCGACAAGAATTCCCAGCAGCCAGACCACAGCCCCGCAAAATACTACAAACTATCCGTGTATTGTTTTCTGCGGAAGCCCCGTGTATGATCAAACCACCTGATCGCGTGTTTGTTTTCGAAACTTTCCCATTCTCCTCAAACAAGCGCTTTCCGTCCTGTGTCTCTCTCTCTCGTCGCTCCAAATTTCTTTGCCTAGTTCCTCCAGCCCGGCATCTCCTGCAATCATGTTGCCGTCCGTAGCCGTCGCGTTGATGCTGCTCGCCGCGTCGATTCCGGCGTCGGACGCGAAGGTGCGGTCCGGTTGCATCCGGAACTACCAATGCCCGCGTCGCGGTAGCAATCAGTGCGGCCTCTACTACGTCTGTTCCAACTCTGCGAATCCCAAGCCGCCCTACACCCTCCAGACCTGCGACACATGCGCGTTTCGGGACAAGTGAGTTTTTTTGTTTTGTTTTGTTTTTGTTTTTTTTTTGTTCCACTACGTAAGACTTTTGATCTTCCAACATTGTGGCCGGACCGCACCTCTGTTACCTGGCGGCACATGCGGGCATCTGTAAAGTGCGTGTTGCTGCTGAGTGCTTGGCTGCATATCAAGGATGCGAGACCATTGACGCATGAAGTTTTCCTACCCACCCCTCTTTCGACGACTGTAGCACGTCTGTCGGGGAACGTCATATTTGCAATTTCTGTCAGTCACAGCCAGACCGCCTTGCACTTGCCAGCCTTGCGAGCCCCTCGGCGTTTAGGTACGAGTTTCGAGGCGCCTCATAAAGCACCTGCGCGTGCAGGGCGGAAGAGGGTTAACCGCTTCGGCGAGAGCTTGAACCTGAATGGAGCAGAGTGAAAAGCGGGTAAGTAGGTGATCCTTACGCCACACCTAAGCAAGCAGCCCACTATCACTGAACTTGCTCGTCGCAACCACGAGTTGTTGGTTCAATTCTGGGCTGTTTTTATTTATTTATTATACTCGATCAGCTCTACTTGAGTTTCTCACAGTGGGATGGATTTTTTTTTTTTTTTTTTTTTTGCAATTTCGCGCGGACGAGGAGGCGGTGGCAGGCTTCGGGTGCAGTCCGACGTCGTTTTCCACCATGCTACCCTCATTCCAGCATTAGCCAGGCGATGCACCAGCATTAGCCCGTCGATTCTCCACCCTTCTCCTCTCGCCGTAACAGTTTGTTCTGTCCTCGCCTCTCCGATCTGCCTGCACACCCTTTCCCACTGCTTCCACCCCTCGTCCCAACTTGTCTTTCTGCTCCCGTCTTGTCTCAGCGTTAATGCCTACGCCCAAGTGTGCAACTACGAGACCGGCCGATGCAACGTTAACAAAATTGTGAGTCAATCACCTCACCTCACCGCATCTCACAGCACCTCATTGCAACTCACCCCTTCCGCCCTCTAGTTGGGTCTCGTGTTTAACCAACCACCGTGTATCCCTGATTTCTTTCTTATGCCCATTGCTGGCTGGTATGCCTGGTTGCAGGATGGCAAGCCTTGTGCGACAGATAAACAATGCGGTCCTTCGGGACAGTTCAAGTGCTTGGTGAACAAGAACAGCAAAGCCAAGCCGCAGGCCAAGCGCTGCTGCAGGTGAGGAAGGACGAAGGCATACCTCTTCCTTTGTTCCCGTCTTGCTGTCACTGCCCACCGATGCCAATGGCTGTTTCTCCTAACTTGGTTGCGTTTCCCAACTCTTTGCAGGGACAAATGCCCCCCTGGCTTGTGCGGTTATGGCAAAGCTCCTGCAACTTATCTCAATGCCTGCGGCACTAGGATCACCTGTCCTGGAACCTGCCCAAAGAAGTGAACCCTTCATGCTTGTTAAGGATTGAGTAATTGACCTATCCAAATACTTCCTAGTCAATAGTTGGGGATATCATAATGCTCTGTAATTTATTGAACTTCAGGAATTGAATCCATTGACATGGTGAATTCGGATAGTTAAAGCAGGGTGTGTTCCCCCAGCCAAAAACTCAACCGACATAGGTAGGCATCGCCTGCCTTGTTTCAATCCCTCGCACCAGCCTTACACCCCCTGCAGAATTCGCCCTCGAATCAGCAAGCGCAAGAGGGTGTTCACTAACATTACACCCAAAAGCCACCCCCAGGAATGTGCACACTTTAAAATTGTTGCATAGAAGAATCGGCCAATATCATTGATATACCCTCTTTCTCACCTCTCACCGGCGGAAGCACTGGCTACAGTGTTTGGACGTAGCGGGTTGGTGAGATAAGTCGGTTGCGGGCAAAGTCGCACGAGGGTTTGAAAAACGCATTGGGCCGTAAAAAATCATTACCGTAACGTTGAATAACCGTCCTGACCGCTTTGAAAACAACAGTACCATTATAGAACGTAGAAAACCTTGACTAAACGCCCTGGGTCAAATTGTCACTGTAACGCATGTGATAGGACCTTCTTTGGTCCGGTGCGGCTACACTAAGCGTCTTGGTCAGTATAACATATGCCAGTCTATCGAGAATGAGGGTGTACTCGAATTATGCCCGGAGCGGTTTGCATTCGTACTCAGCCGACATTTTCGCGGTATAGTACTTACAAGTACTGTTTACTTACGTTACAAGCACAATTTTGAAACAATGTCGCTACTAACACTTCACCAGCACATACCCCTGAAAACGGAACAGGATATAAAATATAACCCTTATATAGCCCTGAGACACTTTGGGAAAATCAACCCTAAACACGAGAAGCCATCCCGTGTTTAGGGCTGATGCCTTCCCTTTTTGCCTGCGTTTCTCCATTGGTTATTTTATTTGTTGTTCTGTACGGAAGTCGCGGTCTGACGCAAGGTTTCCTGGAATCGTGGGGATGAAAGCCAAAAGTGCGACAATTTAACCGTTCGGTTCGGCGCGTTTTTGTTCGGTTCGTTTTAGTCGAGACTGTCAACTCCAGGTCGAGGAATACACATCCAGCCAGTCAGAGTACAATTCGGCCTTGTTCGTGCTACGATCAGAAGTTGATCGTGGCCTAGGATCTACTCAGGAAGGTTCGCACGCAGAGAAGTGATGTTGGTGGGCCCTTGACCTCAATAGCAGAGTGAATGTAAAATGCTTTGAGATGATTTAAAACATGCAAATACAACAAATATAAATATGAGTACAGGGGAGATGAAACGACCTAGCTAGCCATGTACTCTAAGGGGTACATTCCCTTATTCAAATACATTCCCAACTGTGCGGCGCGAACAGTTACGGAACTGTTCCCGCCGAAACCGTCATGTCTGCAACTGCCTGATGCTGTCTGCTCCGACGGTCCAGATGCGTTCCAACTGTCTGACGCTTCGAGTCGATTCCAACCGTCTGACGCTTCGCGTCCATTCGCGATACTGCGTGCTTCTCTTTGCTGCGGTGAGGAGTGCACAGTAATATTCAAGTATTACTATTCGTAACACCCCCCTTCACTCCTGGCCGTAGCTCGACTTGACCTGCTTGACCACGCCGCTGAGTTTGGAGCAGTGCTGATACTGCTGGCGTGGCAGTCGCTTCGTGAGGAAGTCTGCTGCCATGTCACCGGTCGGGCAGTAGGTCAAGTTGACCTTGCCCTTGTCCACCTCATCCTTCACGAAGAAGTACCGCAGCGCAATGTGCTTGGTGCGGTTGACGAAGCCAGGTTTGTTCGCGATGCGAATCGCGCTCTGGTTGTCGCAGTGAAGGCGAAATGTGGGCGAAGCTGGAATTTTCGCCTCTTGCAAAAGTTCCTGCAAGTAGAGGCCTTCGCGAACTGCTGCGGTTGCTGCGATGAATTCCGCTTCGGCTTACGACAAGGCAACTAGCTCCTGCTTCTGCGAGTTCCAGGAGATTGGTCCCGTTGGCTCGAGTCGGAACAGGGAGCCAGTCCTGGACCATCGATTATCGGGGTCTGCTGCGTGATCGGCGTCCACATAGCCGATGAGGTTGAAGGATGGAGTTGGTGCAGCTGAGTAGCACAGCCCAATCTTGGGCGTTGAAACGAAGAACTGAAGGGCGCGCTGCAGATCCAGAAGATTCTCAGCCGCTGGTTTGCGTGAGTACTGCGCCAGCTGGCTGGCGATGTACGAGAGATCTGGCCTGCAGGTGACAGAGGCGAAGAGGAGGCATCCCAACTACTGCTGATAGGTTTGAATCCCAACTGGGGATAGGGGTTTGTTGTCGGGTTTGTGGTTCAGTCTGGGAGTTCGGTAGGGAGTTGAGAGAGGTGCAGGTGAAATGTTGAACCGCTTCCCTAACTCCTCTGCGTACTTAGCCGCTGAGAGATGAATGGCCTCAGGCGCGTAGGAGATGTTGAGGCCTAGAAACTGCTTCACCTCGTAGTTGCACGTGATGTCGACGCGCCCCGCCAAGGCCTTCTCGAACTGCTCGAGAAGCTCGTTGTTCGAGCCTGTGTAAAGCAGGTCGTTGACGTACACTGTGAGGAGAATGTATTCCCTGCGGAACTCGCGGCGATACATCCCTGGATCGTGCGGCATCTGCTTGAATCCGATTTCAAGCAGGATGTTGTGCAGGTACTGCTGCCACAGCCTCGGAGCTTGTTTGATCCCGTAGAGTGACTTGCGCAGTTGGCACACGCGCGAGTCCCCTCCGCCGTAGGTATGCCGCTGCTCCACGTAGATCACGGCATCCACTAACGCGTACAGGAACGCGTTCTTCACGTCGATCTGGCGGAGTGGTAGGTGCCTTGCAGCTACAATGGCGAGCAGGATTCGAACGGAGGTATGGTGGCTAACTGGGGCGAACGTCTGGTCGAAGTCGATGCCATGCCTCTGATCGTAGCCGCGAACCACCCAACGCACCTTGAAGCGCTCGATCATTCCGTCCGCTGCGGTTTTCACGCGGAAGACCCACTTCCCCGAGAGGATTCTTGCACCTTTGATCGCCGCGCGGTCGACTAGCACCCAAGTGTCTCGTGAATCCAGCGCCTTGATCTCTGCGTCCATTTCTTCGCGCCATTCCTTGCTGTGTGGTCCAGAAAGAGCTTCGCGCGGATTTCGGGGCTCGATGACACGTGGCGCCTTCGAAGTTGCGGTGTGAAGCCCGAGAAGCTGCAGTCCTGAGATAGCGCTGTCGTGGCGACGTTGCGGGATGACTTCCTGTACGTCGTCGTCATCGCTTTCTGGTTCAGGAGGCGCTGGTGGTGCTGTGCCTCTGCCGCTTCCGCCTATTCTGCTTCCGCCTGCTGCGCCCATTCCTCCTCCCGAGGAATCGTCGTCGTCGTCGTCGCTGCTGCGTCGTTCTTCCCACACGAACTCGCCCCTCGTGTCCTGCTCCAAGATTGCTGCAGCGGCTTCGTCTTCGGGCGTTGCGTAGTTGTGCCCATCGTTCGCGTAGACGCGGTTCGCAGCCGTTTCTTCATCGCGGTGGAGCTGGTCGAGGACGAGGCGCTCGTAGAAGATGACGTCGCGAGCGTGAGCGATTTTCTGACTGAGGAGGTCCAGCACGATCCACGCCTTGTACTCGTGACTGATGCCGAGATGGATCCCCCAGCGCGCGCGGCTGGCGAATTTCCCGATGGTTGAAGTCGGCGGGCGGTATTGAACCATGCACCCCCATACGCGCAGCATGGAGGTATCCCCTTTGGTCCCAGTCCATTTGACGTGCGGGGACAGATTGCCGGTGATGGCGGTGGTCGAAAGTAGGTTGTGCACCCGCACGGCGTGGTGCATTGCGTAGGTCTAGTAGATCGGCGGCAATTTCGACTGCTTCATCAACGCGCGCACCTTCGTCATTAGCGTGCGGTTCGTCCGCTCAGCTACGCCCTACTGCTGGTGCGCGTAGGGGAGAGAAATGTGGTGCTAGATCCCCTTTTGCGTGAGGTAGGTTTGCATCTGGTTGCTCTTGAATTCTGCCGCGCTGTCAGATTGCCAGATTTTCAGCTTCTTCCCACACTGTCGCTCTGCGTGCGCCAGCCAGAGGCGAAACGCTTCGTAGGCTCTGTCGCGTGACTCCATGTTCATGATCCACACGTAGCGCGTTCCAGCGTCGATGAAGGTGAGTGTCTACATTTCGTCCTCGACTCCGCAATGTCCCACGTTCAGGAAGTCGTTGTACACCTTGTGCAGGTTGGGGTAGCGGTTCGTTCCAGGTTCGAGCAGCGGGAATGGTTGGTGGCTCAGCGCAGCTTCGGGGCAGACGGTGCAGTTGCGCGGATGTGTCGCGCCTCTCACTTCGGAGCCATCAGGGCGCAGGAGTGCGACAGGAGCGAAGATGCCTGCGTCGATGCAGTTTTTCAGCGTCGCGCGTGAAGGGTGTCCGAGGCGCTGGTGCCAGAGAGTATCGTCAGCGCGAATGCCGGAGGTGCGCATGTAGCGCGCGCACGCTTCCTCAGGGTCTTCGTGAGGTACATGAGCAGGTTCTGCTGCTACTCCCTCTGCTTCTTCTTCTGGCGCGGTAGTCAGCATCAGCGCCAAGAACTCTCTGTCTCGAATCTCAGAGAGTAGAATGTTGGTCCCGGGGATGGTTCCAGGGACAAAGGTGGGTTCGCGTGGCTCAGGGGCAAGTCCGTAGACGGTGCGACGCGGGGTTGACGGCTCGTTGCCCCAGATGATGGTGTCCCATGGATCGCGACGCGGGGGGTTGTCAGGAGGAGGTGGTGCGAG